GCCCGCCACCGGCCAGCCCGGGTCCCCGTGCGCCCGCGGCCGGCCCGGGGAGCAGCCTGGGCAGGAGGTGGAAGAGGAGAGAAACACCGGGCGCAAAGGAGCCGGAGCCTCCGGAGGATCCGCGTGGCTGCCGGAGCCTCCCGCGGAGCCGCCCCGGCGCCTCTTGCTTTTGTCCCCCCAGAACCTGCTGCGCAGGATGAGGGGCCGCGGCTTCCCCTGGCCGCGCCTGCTGCTCGTCGCGCTCGTCTTCGCGGCTGGCTTCCTCGTGCACGACGTGCGGACGCAGGGCTCCTTCCAGGGTGAGACGGGATCGCAGGAGGGGATGGCTGCGGAGGACGGCGATTGCCCTGCCGTGCTGAGCGGCGGGGGCAGGACGGGTCCCGTGCGCAGCGCGGAGCTGCCGTTCAGGCCGTGCCCAGCGCGCGCCCGACCCCTCCCCTGCTCCCCTGCCTGCAGCGGCTCTCCCGCCGTGCCCCTGTCTGCAGGCGCTGCATGCGCTGCAGCTTCCGCCCCTCGTGCCGCTGCGAGCCCCTTGGGGCCGTGGCGCTGCACCGCGGGCTGCGCGTCCCCCGGAGAGGAGCCTGGCTGGAGACGGCCGGGCCGGGCGGGGGATCCCGGCCTTGCCCGTGCAGCCCGGGCTCATCCCGGCACCTGCCCTTCCCTTGCAGCCTCCTCCTCCGCTCGCCTCCTCCGTTCCTCGGGCATCCTGGCCGTGTCGCAGCAGGCCTGGCACAAGGTCTCGCACTGCGCCCTCCAAGGATACAGGCGAGTGCCCGAGCGTGCCCGGGCTGCCCGTGGGGCGCGTGCCGGGGTCTCCAGAGGTCCCGGGTGTCCCTGGAAGCGCTTCCCGGCTCAGCTCCCGAGCTGCCCCGTGTCGGGGCCGCGCTGGCTGCGCCGCTGATGCCGGCCTCGCCGCRCCGCAGGTGGCTGCAGGGCAACGCGCCTCTTTACTACTCGGAAGCGGTGGCTGCGCTGGAGCCCGGCGCGAAGCTGCTCTGGGCGCAGGCCAGCGAGGCCGCGCTCGCCGTCACCGAGAAGTGTTCCTCTTGGCTCTCCTGGAGCAAGGACAACCTTCCCGGGCTCATCGAATGGGTAGGAGGGATGTGCCGTGTGAAGGGCGGGTGCCGCGGGGCCCGCGCGCGGCGTCCTGACGGCGCCGTCCCTGCGCCCGCAGCTGCAGTGCCGGCTGCCGGAGGCGGCGCTGCGCTTCGCCGAGGGCGTCGCGGAGCTGCTGCTCTTCCTGGTGCGGGGCTGCCTGCTGCCGCTGCTGCAGTGCGTGGCGGCGGCGCTGGAGCGCGCCTGGCAGCGCTGCGTGGCCTCGTGCAGGTGAGCGCCGCCGCGCCTGCGGCCGGCCTCCCCGCGCCGCCTCGCGCCCCTGACCCGCGTGTCGCTCTGCAGCGGCGCCCTGTCCTGGGCCGGCGTCACGGAGCAGCTGGCCAGCGTCACCTACGGCTCCTGGAGCTACCTGCACAACACCACGCTGGCCCTCAGGGACTGGGCGCTGGCCGTGATTTCTGGACGCTAGTTGCGCTGTCCGGAGCAGCGGGCTCGGGGCCGAGGCGCGGCCTGGCGTTCCCGGCACGGACGAGTCTCGGCTCTGCSTTCCCCGTGAGGGAGGCGGAGGTGGAAAAGGGGATACAGGGGGGACACGGCGGGCTGTGTGCACSAGCAGGAGCCCGGCCATGCCTCTGCCTTCTCCTGTCCCCCCTTCCTGTCTCCGGCTCTCCATGGGCAGGCGCTGCCCGGCCGGGATGTGGCCGGGGCCAGCGCTGTCCCTGCCCGGGGCGCTGCGTCCCGGCGAATGAAGCAGGGCCCGTCCCGTTGCACGGCTGCGTGGGCTCTTTGTGTGTGGGAGCGGGAGCGGGACCGGCCGGCGCTCCCGGGGCGGCGGGACGGCCGCTCCGCAGCGCTGAGCCCTGGGCAGCGGCGCCCGGACCCGGGGCAGTTCCCCCCCGCCATCCCGGGCCGGGGGCTCCACCGGCACCCGGGGCCCGTGTGCGGAGCCCGGGCTCCCGGCGAGCAGCGGGGGCTGCGGGACCCGCC